GCGCCGCCGCCCCGGTCCCGGGCGGCCTTGCCGGGCAGCTCCGGGCGCTCGGCCTCCGGCTGCGGGAGGTGCCCGGGGACGGGTGAGCGCCACGGCTCCTGGGGGTCGCTCCGCGCCCACGGCCCGGCCCAGCGGGGCCCCCGTGGCCCGCGGGGAGCTGCGGCCACCCCGGCCGTGGGAGACGCAGGGAATATCGGGAGCACCGGGAGAAAGGGGGACGGGAACGTGGCCGCTCATCAGCTGCTCGGTGCGGCCCCGAGCTGCCGTTCGCGGCACCGCAGCTCGGCCTGGTGCGGCCGAGGACACTGCGTGCTGTTGGTGCTGTTGGCCTCTGTAGGGTGTAATTCTGCCGTCCCCGCGTTTTGTGCCCATATTTCCAGTTCTGAGCTCAGCGGCCGTTCAGAGGGCTGGGAATAGCCCCCTTGTCCCAGTTAGCGCCGGCCAGGCTCTGCTTCCAGCCCGGCTCGCTGGGGAAGCAGCCCCTGCAGCCCTTGGCTGCACCGCTGGTGCTGCAGGCCCTGCTCGGGTGCAGGGCTGCCCGGGGGAAACTTCAGCCGCCCGTTCCGGGGTGCCCTCTTAGGGGCTGCCTTTCCCACGAGCCGCCTGTGGTTCCTCCGTTGGCAGCAACTGCTTGTTCCGTGCCCTCGGCGATCAGCTCGAGGGGCATTCGCGGAACCACCTCCAGCACCGCCAGGAAACCGTGGATTACATGGTGAAGCGGCGGGAGGATTTCGAGCCCTTCGTGGAGGATGATGTTCCCTTCGAGAAACACGGTAAGACCCTGATAGAAAGGGGTATTGTGCCCTATGTGCACATTTCATTGGGGTACTTTCTAACTACGCTATTTCTCATTCTGCAGCTGTTTTAGAAGAGCTATCTATCTTTTAGACACAGCAGTTTCTTTTCTTTTTTTTAGGAAAATGAGCGATTAAATTTGCACTTTTTAAATTCTAGGAGAAACTTGGCAGATAAAAGAAAAAAGCCAGGAGTATAGATATGTTGTTTTCAGAAGGAATTTATTAAATTATCTAGCTCCCCTTGAATGCTGCTAGTGGTTAAGTGCCGATTTCCGTGGATATCTCTGTCTCCTTGATTTTTTTTTTTTTTTGTTTTCTGTGGTGTTAAAGCAGAGAAGGTCCAAAGCAGAGGCCAAGTTCCCAACTCTTACAGTATTTCTTTTTCTTTAGTAAGCAATTTGGCAAAACCTGGCACCTTTGCTGGCAATGATGCTATTGTGGCATTTGCGAGGAACCATGAAGTGAATGTGGTTATTCATCAGCCTAATGCACCGCTGTGGCAGGTGAGGAGCAGAACTTCTATATTGCAGTCTGATTTTTCAGCTGATGAGCACCTATAGTTTGGAAAATTCCTGATCTATAGGAAGATGCCAAGCACTGGTTGATGGCTGTAGTTGGTTTTGCACGGTGTTGCAAGCAAGCTGTGCTTGATTTTTATTTTTCGGTCTGGAATGCATCTGGATCAGAACTGTGGCTTTAATCAGCGTCAGTTCCTCTCTCCTGAGGATCAGACATTTGCAAGATGTCTCTTTTCACAGAAATTTGAGCTAGACCTAAGGAAACCTGAATGATAATGTTAACATTGATATTGTTTCTTAGTCATTGTCTCTTAATGTTAACATTGATATTTTTCTTTATATCCCATACTTTTCCAAGTGTTGTGGGGGAACTTAAAGGTGAACAAGTGTAAAACAAATGAATGAAAAAAATTGCAAAATCTGAAGTCACTAAGGCAAGGCATAAACTGCAGGTGTAATTGAAAGGTGACTTGGTGTAAATTGTGTAAGTGAGGAAAAGTTGATTCAAAAACCGATAGGGATTGGGCAACTCTGGAACCCTAAAACAAGCATTTTTTGGGCTTTGCTTCCTGGCGCCTTCTCCAGGGAAGGTCTTGGATCTTTGAACTCTGGCTTGACAGGTAAGCAAAGGCAGTGCACAGATGTTCCGTGATTTTTCATGTACCTGGAAAGAGCTGATATGTTTGTCACAGTTGGAGAGAGTGACATTCAGGGTGGGAACTATTCCTGCAGTAGTAGAGATAATACCCAGAGCAGCAATTTTCTAAAGAAACAGATTTACCTGGGACTGAAAAAGCAGAGGAACTTTCAGCTGTTAACAGTGCTTCTGAGTGCAATTAATTGTTGTGATTTGATTTTATTTGTATTGATCTTAAAAAAAAAAAAAAAAATCACTTCAAATGCCTACTGCTAAAATGCTGTCTTTTCACAAATGCAGAAAAAAATTGCTTTAAGTGGCTGTTTCCAACGTGATAAAGACTGGAATTGACTCTTATTTCTCATAGCATTTGACAGGAAAGCATGTTTTATGGTGAATGGAAATTGTCATTGAAATTGGAGCTGGAGAAGATTGTCACCAAACTCGAATATCTTCCGGGGGAAAAACTTATGTATCCAGTAGCTCTGCACTCTGTTTCCTACTGCAATGTTTGTTAGTGCTTCAGAGTGTTAGTAATGTAAAAATGTGATGCAAAAATTAATTGACTCTACATTGTCCTTTGTCGTTTTGTTTCATTTAGATTCGAGGCACAGAGAGGAGCCCCGCGAGGGAGCTGCACATCGCCTATCGGCACGGGGAGCACTATGACAGTGTGAGGAGGATGAATGATGATTCCGAAGCTCCGGCCTGTCTCCGCATGGAGGTGGGTGATGGCAGCCTGGCACAGGCCAGGTGTGGGGGAAAAATAGCTGCAAACATGTTTCTAGCTTCTCTTCTTGTTTGTGCTGAGAATGAGAGAGTTTGGTCCTTCGTTTTAGGAAAGAAAAACTCCTCTGATTAATAAAATCAGTGCTGTGAAGGGCTTAAATAACTGGGCTGGGAGTCAGAAGAAAGAAAGAAAGAAATTCAAGAAAGCTTGAATTTGCAGTAATGAGTGCTCTGGAAGTTAGGAGATAATTGCATTGAAGTCACATACTCAAGTCCCACAATTGCAAAAACGTCTAAATGAAAAAGGAGGGAGGAAATAGCTTTATACAATGGTCCTCTTTGTAGTTATTTTTTTTCTCCACCGTTAAGGATTAGGCTGTGCTGTCCTTGAAGTTCTCTGCACACAGTTGTTTCGTGTATGGGATTGGACTAGAATGAGTATTTAAAAAAAAAACAATAATTGGTCATTGCTATGCATGATCTTTTAATAAATTCGATAAATTGTGGGAAATGGTGTCAGCAGTTTTGAAAGTTGTAGAAGGTCAGAGACACTGATACAGGTTTTCACAGAATCAGAATGTTCAAGGTTGGAAGGGACCTCTAGAGATCATCTAGAGATCATTTCTTTGAGAAAGATGTGCCAGAAGGATTGAAGCTAGACTGAAGCCAGACTTTGTTGTATAACATGAAATAACGGTGTGCTTTTCTTGCAGATGCTTTGCAAAAATGACTCAAAGGAGGAGGAGGAGATTAAACCACAGAAGGAGGAATATGAGGATGGAATTGAAGATGAAGTGGAAGATGCTGTGCAGAAAGTGCGTGATGCAACTGAATGTTCGGTCAGTATGGAGTAAACTGTTAAGCTTGATGTTCCGAACTTCTTAATACATGAAAGAACCCTGGGGAGTAACTAAAGCTTTAATCTTGAGTGACTCCACAAATCAGGATGCATTTCATCCTGGATCCAACCCTTTAATGCAAATGAAAAATACCCTGTGAGTACCTAATAGTTTTGAAGTGCTGAGTGGTCCATGTTGAACAAATCCTTACATGTCAGTAGTTTAAAATGCCATTAATGTGTTATCCCTCTCTCTACCTGTGGACAGGACGTTGACTTAATAAACCAGATATTGCAAGTGGAAAACTACAATGTTGAATCAGCAATATTTGCCATCATTCAAGTGAATGAAGTGAAAAGAATCAGTAAGTACATGCAGCTAGTAGCCTGTGTCAAAACAATGTTGTTTAAGGCTAGAGATTGGCGTTTATGTGAACAAAAAGCAGTTCAACAGCGGCTTGCTGTTGTCTGTGCTTCCACCTCAGGTGAAGAACGTGTCCTGTGTACTCAGCACGGCAAAGTGGCTGCTGAACTGTGTTTTTTTTGGGGGGGTCAATATTTAACCTACCTCAAAAAGCTACAGGAGGTTTACAAGGACGAACTACCCTCCTTGTGTCTGAGGGAAAACCTCTGCTTGTTGATAGGTGCTGAAGAGCAGTGTGATTCCCAGGACAAAGGTCTGAAATTGTGTGGCTCAGCTTTGTGGGAAGAAAATGGAAGTGGCTCCAGAATTGTTGGAAAACAGAATTTGCTTCAAGATAAAACGGAAAGCAAAAGGGAGGCCAGATGTGATGAGGAGAATCGAGCAAATCGAACCGCAAAGGTAGGTGAAGGGTAGTGTGGGAGCAATCTAGGTATTGATCATCCACAGCTGTTTTTTTCCTTTAAATTAGAAGATTTCAGTCCTATAGCTGTGACTTTGATCTAATAGAAACTAAGTTAATGACACATGGCCCTTTTCCCAAAGTGCGAAAAAATTGTCATGATGAATAGTTCGGTTTAAATGTGTCAGGGCAGTTCTTTGATATCTACCTGTCTGCCTTCCCGTGTAGCGAGCTGTTCTTCCCCGCCTGAGAGGAGAAATGTCTGTTTTCAGCTGTGTTTTCATTTTGTGCTTTCAGGTATCCAAAAAGCAGAAGAAGGAGCAGCAGCGGCTAGAGAAGAAGAAGCGGCAGGAAGAAAGGCACCGACAGAAGGTCTTGGCCAACAGATCCAACTGGGATGAAAGGAACAGGAGGGACATGGACTCAGATACCCAAGTGACCCTGGTGAAGGCCACAGCAGCCCTCAACATATGACTGAACGTTTCTGGGGTGCTCTAGCGCAGAAAGCAAATAAAACTGATGAAGGCAAAACTCCTCAGAATGCATTTCCCAGCACCTGTTACCTTAAAACGAGTTTCTGCAGCGATCTCCAGGCATGCACTAACTCTCTGCTTCTCCAGTTGTGGGAAGAATGTTTATTTGTAATGCTGTATCAGCAGGTGTATGAAAAAAAGTTTGAAGTTAATCAAAAAAAGTAAAGACTTATTATTTTGGAGTAAAGTGAAGGTGAGAATCTTTTTCTTCAGTGGTCTTTAGTTTTGTTTGGAGATCTCTTGGGGCGCTTAGATTTCTCCTATAGTGGCTTTCTACCTCAGGTTAAATTTGCAAGAGCTTTATCTTACTGTTAACAGTTCTCAACTGGGAACACCATTTTATTTTTCCTATTTAAAGTTAGAAGGTAGAGGAGCAAAATTTTGAAAGTTTTCCAGTGCTGAAATGTCAGCTAACACCGCATCAGATGTGAGACTTCTTTCTCTTTCTACCTGAGGGCACAGTGGGAAGCTTCAGCATCACCAGAGGTGCTTGTGCCAGTGCAGCACGGAGCCACGTGCTGCTTCAGAAACCATTACGCAAGAAGGGCAATAGCCCCGTAGAGCCCAGGCTTGCTTCTCGCACACATGTGAGGTGATTTGGACTGCAAGCTCTCGAGTCCTTTGCGTGTTTTCCTCTCACTACACGGAGCGAGGAGGAGCCTCTCTGCCCTCCTGAGGCTGCAGCACTGATTGATGCAGCCTGGTGAAGTCTAATGCAGCAGCAGGACACAACCTGAGCGGGTGTGAGGTTCCTGTTGAGTGCAGTCCACGTGGGCTGTTTCTTGGACATCTGGAATCGTGTCTCTTTGCTTCACTCGGGAGCTTTAGGGCTATAGTCCAAGCGGGCGCTCGATAGTCATTAGTCTCCACATGAAATTATTGTAACCAATGGATCAAAAGTCCTGGGAACAAGCTTCCAAGCAGCAGGAATCCCTGGGAATGCTGCCTGCCTCGCACTTCATAAACTAAACTTTTTCCTGCTTTTTTTTTTTTTTCTCAAATTCCTCTTTGGTGAAATCACCGAGGACTTTGGAATAGGTAATTGAATCCTGTGGCACTTTCTCCTGTAGCATTTGGGATATGAACTACAGTGTGAAGGTAGTGGGGCTTGGCCTGGCTTTGGGGCTCGCGGTGCCCCTTCGATGGGGGTTTCGGGGCTACAAGGACACCCGTGTGCCCCCATCAGCCAGGAGAGGGACTAAATAGGGGTTCCCAATGTGAAGGATTCCTCTGTTGGAAAAAGTCTTTAAGTTCCCAAATCAGCACTGCAATGGAACTACTTTTTTGCCTAAGCTGCCAGAAGCAGGCTTGTGCTCTGCTTATCAGAAGCTTTCAGAACATAGAAAGAACAGAATTTTGCCTTAAGAACTGGTGGTGCAGGAGAAGAGCAGGCTTGAACTATAGTACAAAAAAGTGCTTTAGTTCTACAGTAAGTTTGGTGGAAATAAAAGTAATATAAAGCAGCTCTGGTGCTGGAGTATAGTGCCTGGCAAGTGAAGAAGCGCACGATACACTCTGCTTTAATGCTGGTGCTAACCAGGAGTGACTGCTGAGGAGGGAAATCTGAGCAGTGTTTAGTGAGGAGGAAGAAAACAGACGAGTCTTGAATTCAGAGTGTTGTTCCTAAAGCGAAATAGCAAAGTTGGAAAGCTTCGTTTTATGCCAGCTGTTAGGTAGCCTGTTATTAGCACTGCTGTTTCCTGGAATTAATTTTCTCAAGATTTTTACAGTAGTGGGAAGAATGGGATGTCATAGCCACAACTGGAAAAGTGCCAGTCACCTGGACGGTGTGAGAGAGCTCGGCCTTCAGGGATATGGCCCGTAATACCTCGGAGCAAACGCAGCTGAGAATGCTTTAATCTCCAAGTGCAATTTGATTCAAACAAACTCCTAATGTGCTGCACTGTCTTATTAAGCCAATCGTTTACTCTTGATTTTTGATAGAATAATTTTGTACTTAGAAAAACTTGCTTCTGTCTGAAGATGTTAACCTTTCCTTTGGTTTGTTTCAGATATATTTTTTTTCCCTTAGCCGCTGGCATTATCATGGGTATTTTCACCTCTCTCCAAGGGAGTTTTTATGCAAGAAAATCCTGTCCTCCTCTTTCATTGCCCATGCCTGCTCTTCAGCAGGGCTGACTGAGCCTCCTGCTGTGTGTTTGTGGGCTAATAAACGTGCACGTTCCTTTGGTATCTGAGAAGAGGTTGCTTTGTGTTCCCAGCACTGCCCACGTCCCACAGAGCTGCCTGGCTGTCTTAAACGGACTGAACTAAGGGGAGCATTGGAGCTGCAGCTCGGTGCTGGGATGCTCTGGGATGCGCAGGATGTGCTGGGATGCACTGGGATGCTCCCGTGCCCACGGCGGCTGGACCGGCGGGGTCGTCACAGCCCTGCGGGGGGGCACGAGGAGAGCAGAGGCCCTCGGGCCACTTGGAAACACAGAGCTCGGCTGCCGCTTCCCTGCAGGCGTGTGCAGAGCGGGAGCAGTCCCAGCTCCTGAAAGCCTCTTGTGGTGTCCTGTGTGTATTCTCGTCACTGCTCCTGCTTTGTGCTGCATCTCGCTGTTCCTGGAGGGCATCCAGGAACATTCCCCCTAACAGTAGCCTTAACTTATCTGCAGAGCCTGAATATCCAAAATAAAAGTCCTGCCATGGGCAGTCCCTGCATCCCTAGCAGTGCTCTGGAGGTGCTGTGTGCTCACGCTTGCTGGGACCTCAGCAGCCTCAGAGGGCAGCACAGCCTTGATAAGCGCTTCCCCCCCGTCTGTTTTCTGCTGCATCTTCTAGTATAAATGTTTGGGATCCTGCTTTCTGGCTGAAGAGAAACTTGGATAAATTTGGAGTGTGGAAAATTCCTGTCTCTAGCAGTGGAAAACTGAGTCCTGAGCTGACACGAGGAAATGCTTTGCAGAGTTAAAAAGAAGATACCCCACGTACCGTAGGAAGCAAGAAAACCGGGGAAACCATGAAAGATGTTGCTCCGAGGAGTGACTCGTGTTCCCTCTGGGAAGGAAGTGTTAGAAGTGCCATTGACACTGAGGGAAACTGCTGCAGCTCCAGGTGGGAGAATGGTCTCTGGGGTCCGGGCAGGAGTTAGAGGTGCCTCTCCTTGTAGGATTGGCCCCAGGAAGAGCCTGGGAGCTGCTGGGGCTCCTTGGGCTCTGCATCCTGCTGTTCCTCTTCCTATGGATATTTCCTTTTCTCTTAAGGTTGCCACCTTTGGGGCCACATGTCACCTCTGGCGGGTGCGAGGTCAGTGCTTGGCCTCCACCCGAGGGCAGGTCTGGCCTTTGGGGAGCACTCCCAGATCTAACCTGGGCTCTAATCACAGCTGGCATTTACTGGCTCTGCTCCTGGCGCCTTTCTGTCCCCACCTTTCCCACAAGTGCACTGTTATTTTTTGTCTTACTCCTCTCCTGCATCTCCTGGATCTGCAGTGGGGTCTCACAGTGTTGAATGTCGTGGCTTTGGGCTTGCACTGATTCTTGCAGCACAATCCTGCTCTTTCTACCTGGAGCAGCAGAGAAAACACTGCAGTACCTGCTAACCAGCAGCATTATCCCAGGGTGATGTCCAGCCTAAACGAGGCACTTCTCACATCCAAGACCGCCGGGCACAAGAGCAGTATTCTCTTTAATTTGGAACTGTTAATTTAATTCCCTTTATTGTTTGGTCTCTCAGAAAGGCCGTGCTCTGTCTCACCTTTCTCTTTTCTTGGACAGGGAGAAGGTGCAGCCGATGCGGAGCACCCTGCGGCTGGGACTCGCTCACACCGGGGGACACCGAGGGATCTGTGGCCAGAGGTAGGGTGGCACCGCAGGGTTGTGCCCTCCTGGTCCTGCTCGCTGGTTTTTCCCCTTGAGGACTAAGGTAAATCTCTAACAAACCGGCTGCGCTGCCGGAGGGGCCGCGGTGACAGCGACTTCGCAGAGGTTTCGCAACGGGGCGGATATGAAGTAAGACGCGTGGCCGGGGGCCGCCCGCCTCCCGGGAGCATGTGGGTTCTGTCTGCGTTGCGCAACATGTTTTTCTCCTTTCAAAGGACAAGGGAAATATCCCATGACAGCCCAGCAAGGCCCTTGTGGGGGTCTCTGGACGGGACGATGGTGAAAACGGATGGATTTGGAGCGTGGATACAGGGCTCCCCCCTCCCGCAGCAATTCCCATCCTGCTTTCAGCACTTACATGTCTTTTGCATTCCGATGGCTTTCTGCAGAACAGCGAGCAAGACAACGGAGCTCCACGTTAACCATCCCTAACGCCCTGCGGTGCAGGCAGCGAAACACCTGGGGCTACCTGCAGTCTGCCCAGTGCTTGAGCAGAACGAGCCCGTTTGGGATCAGCCGGCACACCCCCGTGCCATGCAGTCTGTCCCTACAGGGCTCCCTGCCCCGTGGGGCTGTTCCCTCCTTCCCGTGTGTTGCTCCTCTCCCACGGGATGTTCCTACGTGGGGAGGACAGGAAAGCTAGAGGCCTGGGTGGTAACCAGAGGGAAACACTTCCAATTTGGGGGAGATTTTCCATTGATCTCTGTTGCTCTCACGGGGTCTCAGAGGGGCAGGGTGCACTCTTGGAGAAACGTGGCCGCCCTGGGTGTGTTTGGGGTGTTTTCCACAGTGGGGATGATCGCAGGGCTGGGCGTCAGCTCTGCCTGCCTCTGTCTCCCCTCTGTTACCCCATGGGCACCTGGGCTGCGGTGTGAGAAAGGTTTGGGTTCCCTCTGGGAACTGGAGCAAGGCGCTTTGCTAATGGGAGCAAGGTACTTTGCTAATGGGAGCTCACACAGGGGAGCGGTGCTGTTTATTCTCCGCGTTTATTTTGAGGGGCACGAGGACACAACGAAGCGCAAGGGAAAGCAGAGCCCTGGCGTTGCCCCCCGGCTGCCCATGCTGGGGAACCAGAGCCAGGCGGAGGCCAAGCACGAGGCTCCCGCGGCCTCCTTCCTCGCTGTGTCGCTGCTCTGCTCTCACGGGGCTGTCCTGGTAAAAGGCTTCTTGCTCCCCGGGGGCAGCAGGACCCGCCGCGCTGCTCCCGGGGCCAGGCGCCGTGCGGCTGCAGGGGAGCAGCGCAGGAGCCGCGCGTGCAGCCGGCACAGCCGCCCCTGCCTCCTGCAGCGGCCGCCGGAGCCTGCGGTGGGACGGGGCCGTGGGGGGGCCGCCCTTGGCACCGTGTCCTCCCCCTCCGTCACCGCGGGCACTTACGGCAGGTGCTGATGCTGGCACCGGGTTGGGGGCCGGGGGCTCGGCAGCGCCGCGCCGGCCTCGCGGGGCAGCAGGCGCGGAGCAGGCGGCACCTGCCCGGGAGAGCAGCGTGAAGCGCAAGGCGGGGGGGACCCGCTGGGTGCTGCTGGCATCAGCGCCCTTTGCCGCGTGGCCCCGTTGGGCAGCGTGGGCACCCTGTGCCCCTGAGCAGCCCCCAGCCCCTTCCCTCCTGGAGTTGACCCCCGGCACAGGCTGCTTTTCCCTGCGTGTTGCCCTTGTACCAGGCCGTGGAGGCACCTCGGGGGCCCCATGCTGCCGAGCAGCCGGGGGCGGACGTGTTGGCCACGGAGCTTCCCTCGAGCGCCGGCGCGAAGGCTGGGGGCGGCGGCGGCCCCTTGGTGCCAGCCGGGACGGTGCCTGCGGAGGTGGCGGGGTGGGGAAAAGGCGGAATTGCAGAGGTGGGAAGGAGCCCGGGAGCAGCAGGTCCCGGCCGCTCGTGCAGGGCACTGCGTTGGGCAGGGTGCTGAGCGGGAAGGGGCTCCCCGACCCCGGTGTCCCACTTACTGCAGGCGAGCAGCGCTGCCAGCGTCAGCAGGACCCTCATCTTCCTCACTCCTTGATGGGCTCTTAACGTGAAGCGCCGCGTGCGACTCGCGCTCCTGGCTCTTATAGGGCGCCCCGGCCCTCTCCCACCCTGTCCCGCGGGCCGCGGCCGCAGTGACGCAGCGCCTGGACACTCGCTGCTTGGAGGCAAGCGCAGGGGTTTCGTCCTCTCCTCGGCAGCGCTCGCAGCCACGCGGTGACTTTAGCCTTTCCTTAGTTTATTCTCCGTTAACGGCGGAGCGGGGCGCTCACGGGCGGCACGCGGCGCGCGGGTACAGGCGCAGCGCGGCGCGGTAGGAGCCCCGGTGCCGTCGCAGGCAGAGCGCCAGGCTGCGGTCGCACTCGCAGGAGAGCTGGGCGCACGCGGAGCCCTTTGCTGCGGGGACAGGGGGACGCAGGGGTGAGGCGGAGCCGTGGGGCCAGGCCGGGCGCCGCGGGGCCGCTCCTCACCGCACGCCAGGCGCCCGCCCTGCCAGCCATAGCGGTAGCGCTGCCGCTTGGCCTGGCAGCCGTGCCGCAGGAGGCTCTCGTAGCAGCTGTCGTGACGCTGGCAGCACCTGTGCGAGCAGCAGGACAGCTCCAGAGCGCGCGCTGGCACCGCGGCGTTAGCGGCACCGGGGCACCCACCCGTCCGTGGCATCCTTGGGCTGCCCGCGGCCGCCCCAGCCGCAGTGGCAGCCGTAGGAGCCGTAGTGCAGCAGCGCCGAGTGCCCCGTCGCTTGTGTCACCATGCGCTGCAGCTCCCAGAGGCTCCCGTGCGCTGCCAGCACGCCTGCATGGGGGACAGCAGAGGAGGAGGAGGAGGAAGGCCAGGCAGGCTGCCGTGCTCTCGCTGCTGCTCGCAGCTGCTGCGGCCACCGGGAGTCCTGTCTCTTTCGCTCACCCCAGGTGAGTAGCAGGGTGAGCACCACGAGCAGCTTCATCTCGAGGCCTCGCGGCTGCCTCTGCCCACGGCTGGGATCCAGCCCCCCAGGCTTATATAGACAGGGGCCTCGGCTCCTTGCTTTCAGATGTGCCCTTACCACATGTCTCCTGGAGTGCGATTATTGGTAAAGCAGAAGGATGCTCTTCTTCCCCTTTCCAGGAATGCCCCACATCCTCCCTGCCCGGCACTTGGGGAAGCAACGCGCGGGCAGGGGAAGGCGGGCAGGCTTCCACCCCGGGAGGAAGCCTGAGGGCGTCCAGCCCCTGGGCTCCCCTGGGGCCGTTAAAGTGGGGGGTGCTGGGGGAAGTTGGGGCAGGTTCCTGCCCAAAGCTTCCCTGCCTGGGCTGCCCCTGCTGCCGCTTCCTGCCCTCCCGCTCGCCTGAGGATTTTTGGATATTCGCATGTAGGCGAATACACCACCAGCTCCAGTGCCTTACTAAAACCCACACAGGGATGAAGCGTCCCTAAGACCTTTTATTGAATCTTTTTGGTTTTTTCCCACCCTAGGATGGGAAATCAACAGAGAGAAGGGGGAGAGGATCTATTGCAATAGGCACACGTCCTTCCTGCGCCCCAGCAGGGCCTTCCAAGAGGATGGCTCTGGCGAGCGCTCGGTCCAGCGCTGGCACCGGCCTTTGCTTTCCTTAGCCACGGGCAAGGAAAGCTCCGTGCCCCGCTCAGCACTGCAGCTTGTTCCCTCGGCACTGGAGTTTGAAGTAGAAGCGGTAGGACGTGTTGTAGGACGGGAGGGCGCTCGCCAGGCACAGAGCCACCTGCTTGTCACAGCGGCAGCTCTCGCTCCTGCACCAGCTCTGCCCGCTGCCTGCGGGGATGCGAACGTCGCCGTGTCATGTCTTGCTCCCCGCACATGTGGCCGCCGCAAAGGCCGGACCCCCGCCCTGAACTCACCGCAGACGACGTCTCCGTCAGCAACGTCGAATTCGTAGGGCGTGAGCAGGGGCCTGCACTGGCGCTCCCTCAGCTGCCGGTAGCAGCAGTCGTGGGCATGGCAGCACCTTGGGGGGCGGCGCGTCAGGGCCGCTCGCCCTGCGCGGGCCGCGCCGGGCCCCGCGGCTACTCACCGGTCGGTGGCGTCCACGGGGGTGCCGCTGCCGCCGATGCCGCAGAAGCAGCCGTACCAGCTGTAGGAGAGCAGGGCGCTTCTCCCCGTCGTGGCCTTCACCATGCGCTTCAGCTCCAGGACGCTCCCGCGGGCCGGCCGCCCTGCGGGGGAGGCGGAGGGATGCGCTGGCACCGGCCCCGGCGCCCGCGCATCAACCCTCTGGGGTCCACAGCAAGGTTCGGGATGCTTTCCAGGGGCTTTGGGGTCTGCTAGAGGGTTTTAATGCCCTGCTTGTATCCGTTACCCAGCAGTGTCGTGTTATCAGTGCCAGGCTGGGGTTTGGCATGGCCACGAAAGCCAGTGGCTCCCAAAGCCCTGAGAGCCAACCCCAAAACGGCAAAGCCTGAGGCCCTCATGTCTGTTGTTCCCGAGACCCCAGGGAAGGCACTTACCGCACACCAAGAGCACGGCAAACACGAGGAGATTCTTCATTTCTGCACGGGACCTGGACGAGGGGACCCAAGTGTCGTTGCCTCCTCAAGGAGACCTGGCTGCAGCCAGTGGCCTGGGGCTGGGACGGACGCGGGAGCAGGGAGAGAGCAGGAAAATTCCCTGCTCCACTTCCCTGCTGGGAGAGCCCTCTGGAGCGCCCAGCCCAGCAGCTTCCCCTATATAGGGGGAGAGGTCTGGCCCCTCCGCCCCCTGCCCTGCCGCTTGCCGTGGGTCTGGCTGCAGCAGGAGGCCGTTGCGCCAGCGCTGCCTCCACGCTCCCATCCCTCTGGAATTGCCTGAGTTCAGGGCCAGCCCCTCTCCCAGATGCTGCCACTCACAGCCTTGGTTCAAGGGCGGTGGGATGAGGTGGCCGGAGGGATGGGATAAAGGGAGATGCTGCCTGGAGTGGGGAAGGCACCTTGTTGGGGCCGGGCTCCTGTCTCTGAAACTTCACACTAGATCCAGTGCTGTCTCGCACGGCTCCGTGCTGCAGCTCCCTCCTGGGGCCTGCTTTTGCCAACCTACACCCCAAAACCCCAGGGAGCTGCTTCGGGAAGGCCGTAGACTCCCCCTTTGGAAAAGAGCACGGCCGCAATCGCAGCGCTGTCCCCCGAGGCACAGGGAAGCACAGGAGCCAAGCAGATAAGGAACAAAGGCCACTATCGCTCCTGGTTTTTACGGTATTTGTCCAGTGTCTGGGCAGGGCCGCTCCACCCCGAGGTCCTCCCAGTGGCGCTTCCCCCTGCTTTGACTTTCCATTCCCATTGCGTGCAGAATTAAAAAGCCCCATTAGGAGACCCCCACATCACCCCACCTTTTCCAGCGCTCCCTGCCTCTTGTGCCTTTGCAAAGCTGAACAGGAGGGAAGCAGCAGGGACTTTGTACCCGTTATTGGTATAAACTTGCTGCTCCAAGTTTAATTTTCCGGCCTGGAAAATGTACTTTTTTGGGGGGCGGGGGGTGCTCCACATGTGCAGCGATGGCTCTGGTGCCTCCCTGGTGAGACCCGTCACCACCAACCACTGAGCTGTCCTCCCGCTCCCTGCCCAGCCCGTTTTCCATTTGGAGCAAGGATGGGATGCTCCCTCCCCAGCACTGGCAGCTCCTCCTGCCCGGCCGGGTGCCTCTTTGGTCTCCCACGGGGCGGAGGAGCCGCCTTTGATGCGCCGCTCCCTTATCTGGATTCCTCAGGGCCGGCGGGCGGTTAACTTTGAATTCCAGCGGAGCGGGCAGTGCTCCTTCCTCGCCCGCCCACCCCTCGCTTCCCCTCTCCCGTTTCCCTGCTCTGTGATGCTTGCTTGCCCGCTCCACCTCTCCCTTCTCCTTGGCTGGCTTTTCTGACCATATTACTATTTCTGGAGGAGAGGGACTCTTGCCTTTACCATCCATTGATGGCCCTTCGTGCTCCAGGGCCTTGTACCTGTTGGATAGCGGTACCTGGTACGATGAGATGGAAGAAGAATTTCTCCCACCACCTCGAGCCTGGACTTGTTTCCATTCACCCTCATGCTGGTTTCCTCTCCCTTGTGCTGTCTGGGTGCTGGCAGCTGTATCTTTTTGTCTTCCTGGTGCCTGCCTGGCTATTTTGGAGCTGGAGCTCCTCGGCATTGCAGTTCCATTGCTACCGGAGCAGCCTGGTGCTTTGCCCGGCCTTGTCATGTTTCCCCGCTCCGTGCTGCTTCCTCGCCTGCTCCACCTCTCCCTTTGCCTCTCCGCTTTCCCCTCTCCAGGCCTCTTCAAAGGGAGAGGCAAAGTCAGAGCAGGAGAGGGAAAGGAGGAAGCGTGGAGGAGGAAAAGCAGGAGAGGCAGAGGGGAAGGAAGTAGCACTCAGGGAGGAAAGGGGGTCACGTAAAGCTAGTAGGGGAGCAACGCATATAGAGGCACAAAGGGAGAGGTGCAATGGGCAGGAACAAGCACAGAGCTGGGCAGGGCAGAGGGAGACAGGAGCGAGGCCCCTCTGCACACGCGGCCCCTCGGTGTCCGCAGGGTTTCGTGCATGTGGGGCTCTGTGTATGCTGTGCTCCCGGGGCCCTACACGTGGAGGCCAGTATCCAGGCGAGGAGCATGTAAGGAGTTGTTCGGTAGCATACAAAAATATTAATTCATTAAAAATGGCTCCTAAGGAGGCAGACGGAGGTTGAGGATGCTCGTGCCGTCTGATTTCTGCAGGGCTGCCTGGCTGCACCTCGAGTGCAGGAAGGAGAAACTCCAGCGCGCTCCTCCCCTAGGTAGCGGGGCAGCTTGGGAACTTGGGAAGTGGAATTCCTCGAGAGCAGAAAGCCAGCCTGCATGTGCTGCAGGCATCATGTGTAGGCAAAACGAGGTCATTTCTGAGACAAATGAATGATATGATGACCCGGGATTAAAAAACAAACAAACAAACAAACAAAAAAAAACAGAGAAAAACTATAATTGTGAAGAAAACAGAAAAGCAATTGCCACTTAGGGAAAAGGGAGAATGACCAGAAAAAAAAAATGATCCCATGGGCACCTGGTAGGAGGGAGGGGTTGATTAACAATCAAATAAAGAGGGGGCAGATAAGGAATGCAGCCTGGAGGAGAGCAGCAGGGAATGAGCTGGACAGCAGAAGAAGAAAGCATCTTTACATTGCAAATGGAGCCTGAAGAGGGAAAAAGGGATTGAGGAGGCTCCGAATGTCCAAATGCGACAGCGCTGCCCAGCGGAAGAAGGACGGGAGTTGAGCAAGTCTGAGGTGCCTACCCAGCAAGGCAGGTTGGCAGCTTGTGAAGCAGCAAGAGCTGGGATGGTTGGTGCCGCCACCCCGGGGCGCCGTGGGCAGCTGGCCCCCCGCGCCCTCCGGCCTTCCGTGCACCCTCCCCGGGCCTTTTCCTGAGGACACAAAAGCCCTGACTGTTCCCTAGTTATGGGTGCGTGGTCACTCAGCTGCTCTTTTGCGTGGTGCCGCAGCCCTGCTTGGGGCGGAATCTTCCCTTGCTACCTGCCCCAGGTGTTGACTCCCTCCTCTGTGACCAGTGATTACGATTTATTTTTTCCTATTCACCACAAATCTCTATACTGCACCTTGCACAGGCCAAGGCACTAAGCTCTAAAGGCTTGCTGAGCTGCCTCAGCTATTTCTAGCACTATAATGAACCTGAAGCGTTTCCTTCTTCCTTGTTTTGAAACCCCAGACTTTTCTATTTTCTATTACAGGAAATCTTCCTATATATAAGATGACTTTATACCTAGGTTAAGCAATCAAACCATTCTCCTTTTCTATTAGAAGATTGCTGCAATGCTAGTGCTACCTCTGATGTGCAAAACTCTTTTCACATGTAACTAACAAGTTGATTTGACTACTCACATTTCATGTATTTCTGTTTAGACTTGAGAGGGGATAAAACCTACCTTTTTTTTTGCCATAGTCTGCAATGTCAGAACAAGAGACAAGATTAAGCTAACTGAACAGATAAGAATTATAGTATGCAACTAATTCTCAAGTAAAGAAGCTTTGTTTTCACACTAGAAGTGTTCTTATGGTGTTCATTTACTTTGCAGACTGCAATCTACATGATTAGAGAGATGCATTTTCATCACTGTGGTAAGTAAAGATCTGTTTACCTCCAATAAGCAGAGCCTCACTTATTTTGGTAATAGTGTGAATTTGTTGCAAAATTTTACATTGCATTTTCTTAACTTCAGTAATCAAATAACATAATTACTCTATGTAAAAACTTTGTAGACAATTACTTTATGTAAAAACTTTGTAGACAATGAGCAAGTATGCTCATCATAAACACTACTCTAGGGTCAGAAGAGAAAGATGTTATAGTTTTGGAGTTTTTTTAAAATAAAACCTCTCATTTGGTTTGATGTTGACTTATGTCTTTGGATTAGGAGGTTTTCTTGTTTTCACTTAGAGAGACCCAGATTGTGTTACCTGTATCTTTCAGTCAGAAAAACGGGTATTTAAGATTAGTTTATTTTTGAGTGTTTATTAGAGGAGAAAAAACAAATCATATTCAACGCTGGCAACAGCAAACACTTCCTGAGTCAGAAACATCAGACTGTTTGGGTTAACAGGTACAAAGAATCAGAATTCTTGTCTGTGAATCCATAGCTGGAAGTGATGATCCATGGTCTTTTGTGTATAGCTGTCTTTCCAGGTAGGAGCCATTACTCAAATATTCAAGCTCTCTTATATACTTGTTTACATACTTGATTCTCACAATGAAGCTCCTACAAAAAGAGAGGACAGGGCAGATATTTATCTGGTAATCAAAGGTCCTATACATTTCTAAAGATACATTTCTAAACTCAGAGCATTTTCCATGACTACTAGCAATTAATTGGCTATCACGCTGACAAGTTAGGCTTGATACTTATTACACAACACCAAGACAGAAGAGTAAGATAGTAAAATTTTTAAAATAAAGGTGAACTAAACCAAAGCAGAATGTGCTCCCTGTGTACTGTTGTTTGTATGTGGAGAGCTAGAAGAAAACCTGCGCAGACTGTGAGCCACATCTTATTTCTTTCAAATAAAGACAGAAAGAGTGCAAGTCTGAACCAAAGTAAATACCAGATGGAGGTCATCTCCTTCAATCCAGTGAGTCCATCCTCTGTTCTTCTTCTCACCAATTTGAACACAGACAAGTTTGTCGTTATCCCAGGTAACTAGGCTCTGTTCAAGAGAGAAAAAAAAAAAAAAAAAAAAACCCCAAAAATCACATTTCTTTATGTTTTATGTATCTGAGTCCTGAAGTATATAGAGTGTCTTTTCTTCCCGGATAAAGAGGCCTAAATGGTACTGCTGGGGAAAGGTGATATTCCCTATCTGTAACTTGCCATTTTTAGTGCAGCCCTGAGGTAGGGGCCTATTGGAAGCAATTTCAGCTCATTATCAGGATTAATTACGGCCTCTTGATTTTTATATAGTCCTACCTTACATTTTCTGTTATCCAGACCTTTATTATCTTCTTCAAACTCTTCTCCAATTTTGAACTCGAGCGAGTAATCTCTGAATGTACTAGTAGTATGGATAGAAAATGAGTCACCGTCCTGTTTGATTACTTTCTGCGGCTTCAGCATTTTTGCTATCTTGCGTGTTGCAAAGTCAATACCTTGAAGGGAGGAGGAGGGGGGGGAAAAAAAAAAAAAAAAGGAAAGTTGCACTGGTCACCAGCCATTCTGACACCCAAGACTTATCTTTACTCCTTCTAGAAGGTTTTCTTAAGAATAGCTTAGTTTTACAGCTATGCAAGTTTTCTTAGTTGCTCTGTGTTGCATACTTTAAGGCATGTTCATGAATATTTTACACTTTGGAAAGCCATTTATGCAAGTGTTGCACAATTCCTATGCAAGATTTCTAGAAGAGTTTTTTTTTTGAGGGTGGTAGAGGGAAAAAGCCCCTTCTCAACCACCCTGGGAGCCTGGTCTCAGACTGACTCCTAACTGTTAGCTACAGAGATCAGTGAGTACCTATTCTTGACCTTTATTAGATGAAAAACATAAAATGAAATAACAAGGAATCTTTGTACCCTGCACCATAAACTTTGATGAGAAGCAGCCCTTGAAACTGCTAAAGGAATTCCTCTATTTTCAAGGCCTGGCACTTGCTATTGACACCATTCAAGTGCAACTAGAAAACATCCTATTTTTCAGAATATTGCCTGATTGTCTATAATGTTTTTTCACAGAATCCGCATGTTGGTAATGCTGAGCTCAAATTAGTGCTCCTGACGTTCCTTCAGTGAACATTTCTTTATTGAAAAGAATAGGGCACCAATTTGACTGGTAACAGTTATATAGCATCCCAATACCATACTCAGCATTACCTTTTTAGGAAGCACGTGAAATGGGTAAAATGAGGGATGACGTGCCAATTTAGCTGTTTGTCATCATTTAGATTTAAATGTAATTTATATGACAAGCAGAGAAGGAATTCTGTGTTTATAAGGTCTTTTTAACAAAATGTGTTCAGCTGCCACAGATTGGACCACACGGGTTATAATGTGGTTTAAGCTGCACTAGGATGACTTTGTCACTGACTGCATTAGAGGAGTGCCAGAATCCCTGCCATGTCTTTATATAGTTAAAAGTTCAACTGTGGTCTTATTTCAGCATAGAGGGTCGAGCTCCTTGGCAACAGCCATACAACTATGCTGATGTTTCCTGTTTAAATACTTATAAATACAAACTACTACCAACTCAGAGGTTAAGTTACTGAACTGAAAGAGGAGGCACCTAGGAGGAGCCACTCTCAACCATAAACTTGTGATTTCTTGGCTGAGTAGTTTACTAAGCTCTTCATGTTGTGCTCTGGCAGACTAGTTTCACACTCCAAATCCACAGTATTGATCTGGGTTCTTGTTTTATTAAATATACTGGCAAACAAGTGGAAGTAGGCAAGTAAAAATCAGTTTTAAGTCATCAGAAGGATTATTTGCTTTGCCTTTTAAGGAACAATTTTCCCCAATTTCACGCTAAAAAGAAATTGAGTCCTAGTAATAAATTGGCAAAGAATCACCTTTCCCTTGTGTTCTTACTTCAGAATCAGCACATAATTTAAGAGTTCAAAAAAAAAGTCTTGAGAATGAGTAGTTCAGCATTGAAAATTATTATGTATTTTAAGCTGAGATGATTAGAGTATTCATTAACCCTAAAAGATGATTTAAGAACAGCCATTTTTTGCTCTGACATAAAATAGCAGCATGAGAAAGGGAGAGGGAGAGTTCATTCAATATGCTAAGGATATTGGCTAGGCAGATTAAGTAGGCCATCCTTTTGGCACAGATATGGCCAAAAAAGAGTAGATTGCACTCTAGTGTATGCCATAACTAATGAGAGACCACTAGTTAGTAGCCTGGACATGTTGAAATGGCAGAAAAGGATTGTAGGGAGTGCGGAGAGGAAGGCAGTGTATAGGATTACCTAATGTCACAGCTTTATAATTAGCTTTGCACAGGGAAGCTATCAAGTACCAAGATTGGAGCAAGGTAAGAGGTTAGTTTCAAGGGCTCTACAAAATGTTCATTCAGAGGAGCTGCTAAGCAGCCCCACGCAGGTCGCAACGAGAGATGCATTTTGTGAGCTGCTTCAAGATAGATTCCCCTAAGACAAACGCCTAGAAGTGACAGATAGCTAGTAATTTTTTTTTGCAGGGGTGTCCGGGAGGTTATTGTTTACTCAACTTTAGGCTTAGGCTTCTATAACAATATGCTCAAAAGAGAAAATGAGTAGGATTGAGTGGGCAGGGAGAACACTACCCCATTTAAGGGAAGCCATCTCTAAGTTTGGCCACAGCAAACACTAGGTAGAGAAATTCCTGAAAGCTACGAGAACACTTGGACCACAGAGTGCTGTATAATTCTATCATATGCTTACCATAAGCAAAGGTCCTTACAGTAAGGATACAGATTCCTCTAAAATTCAGAACTCTTAAGCAAATAGAAAAGAAGATTAGAATCAAGTATTTTCACGTACCTAAGGCCAGCATGTAACCCTCAAAGTTGTCATTGCTGGTAAGGATCCAGGTTCCACTGAAATCCACAGGCATTGCCAGACTGTGAAAAGAAGATACAGGCAATTTCTGACCAAAAAGCAAGAATTAAAGGGCACGTTTTTAACTAGGCCTTATATGAGAAAGACTGTGGGTGGGATTACAATTGAATGACTTTTGGATGGAGAGGGGGGTTATTGTTGCTGAGCCAGTAGGTGACAGGGTATTTGTAGATCAGCTTCAGCTGGGTTGGAGGCAAAAGTTCACAGTTTCTGAAATCTTTGTGTGGAGCAAATGTTATTAACCCAGGGGCCGCAGTGTGAAGCAGAGAAGTAGTTTAAACTTTTTGTTCTGTCTTGTAAATTGTAAGGGGAATCACAGATTTTGTCATTGCAGTGTATATGAGGTGTGGGGCTTTAGGATCTGAAATCTGCACAGTTGGTGAAGAAGAGAACTCCCCCATGTAAATCGATGATGTGTTTTAACAGACAGCTCTTGGCTGTTAAAATGTACATGGATATATGAGGAAAGGAATACGAGTGAGAGAAAGAACATATAAGGAATGTGGAAGTGAGGTTTAATTTCCTTTATAATACATGGAATTGTCCAGTCTCTTGCGGTCCTGTATTTATGTTTTGCAAAATGTGCATTTTGTTTTAACAAGTGAATACTAACCTAATAAAGCTGAAAAAAACTAGGCACCATAGGGGTGTTAAGTACAGGACAGCTAGATAACTTTGTACTTCAGTTTCCTCAACTGTAAAACCTGGAAAACAATACTTTGCAGTTGCCCATGTTTTGAGTATTAACATAATTCCAAATTTTAAGTGGTTTGATGTGATATTAATGCGTACGTCAGTTGTACTACAGTTTTGCATTCAGCTATACTGCTACTATAATAAAAAGTTGGTATTCTAAATCTTGAATGAGGAAACTCCTCTCTACTTCATTTACCTATATACTGACTTGTTATCAAAATCAGTTTATGCTGAATTGAGTGATATTATTTTTAAAAGAATATTATTTTTAAAAGAAAATCAAATTTCTCTGAACTTTGGCTGCATTTTTTGAGCTGACAGTTTAGCCTATATGACTCGCATAATCATGTGGGTAGGAAATTAGAACGTCAAAGCATGTTTCCTGTTTGCAATGGATGTTATTCTCTACACTGAATTAGGAATGGCACAGAAAAATTATGGTTCCCCTTGGACTCAAATAGTAACATTTCACCCATATTTCTTTATTACAGAGTTATGATGCGAAGTAAAAGATCACTGTTGCAATACTGCTGACTTTTTCAAGTGAAACAAAGTCAGTACTCGGTTAAGTCTTGTGCAAAAGGTGGGTTATAACTCGTCATTGGGGATGAACATCATACATAAAGTTATGCAGATTGTTTAGGGTAGAGTGTTTCTTTCTGTATAGCTGTACTAAATCTCAAACTAAGACCTATCTATTGGTACCTCTCTAAGACCTGGATGAGTTACTATTTCAAAGGTAAATCAAAAAACTGTCTATAGAATGTTTTGTAAGAACTGCCAAGTGCTCTGGCCGCATTCTAGGATGGTTATTTCATTCTCCCTTACCAGGCTTTTCCTTCCATGGAAAGAATTTTTGTCCATCTTCTTTTCTGTGCAATACCAAACATTTAACATGCTCTGCGGAAGATGCAGCCTCATTACAGCAGTACATGAAGTGATTGCTACTACTATTTGTAAAACATATTGAGTTTGAATAAAATGTACAGTGTAGGGGCCCCAATACAGTAGAACCAAATACAATGATGTAAAACATTGCTGCCTGACTTCTGCTTGTAGAACATCTGGGAATGCATTATAATTATAGATCCCTTTAATAAGTAAGTTCAGTTAACTCTATTATCTGAAAACCTTACATATGGTTTCTCCCTTAAATCTAGTCTACTCTTGAAAGTTTTATTTATCTTAACATTTTTTAAAAAGTCATGGGGCTGATTTTCAAACTGCTACTTAAAACTAATTGGAACAATAGATAAACAGTATGTATTTATTTCTGGAGTTGTAACAGGCAAATCTCTAGATCCCATTGTTAAAATAAAAGATCCATATTCATCATTCAGTTTATATTTCTGAACAGCAGTTTGTTTTATATAGGCAAAATGCTACTGCTATCATTCTACCCACTTACGAATCATGCAACCATCAGACATCAGATGTGGTTAATAATAGGATGACTGTTAAATTAGCATATTACATGCAATTTATTTTCTTGAAAGACCCATCACACATAACTACATTAAAATCCAGTGATATATAACTTGTCTGGAGAGCAAAGCTCTATAAAACATCCTGTTCCATATGCACTGTTTCTCTAGAATTATGCAAAGTGCAGCAACACACACCACCATCATCATTACAAGAATAAATTTAAAGTGCAGTTTATTCTGAAAAGTGACCACACAATTAGGGTGCACTTTCATTTGGAAAATCTGATATGTTTATTCAGAAGCTGACTTAAGTGCTGTGAATGTTTTCTTGCTCTCTATTCTTGTCAGCCTTCAAGATAGCAGCTGACAAAGAAGCAGCTCTTGTCCTCTCTTTTTTTTTTCATGAGAAACAGTGCTGAGGTTCAAGTACAGCATTTCTGGGAGAAAACTGCATGATGGCAGACAAACAGGCTGTATAGCTGAAATGCAGGCAACTGAAAGCATGACTTATCTGGGATCAGTTCAGTCAGGAGAAATGTATCCCCTTCCAGCATAGAGCCAAATAATTTATGAGAACCATCATATGCTGCCAACTTAAAAAAACTGAGTTATACTGGTTTGCTATCATTAACTGGTACATTTTGAAATGGTTTAAAAAGGCTTTGTCTGTTACTTATGGTACTGTAATACATACAAAGTATTTGGTTTTAGTACTTTACAAATAACAGTTTGAGCAGTCAAACTAATCAGAATATTTTCAATAATTTATAATTTATAATTTGTAATTCTTTTTAATAACCTGTAATTTTTTTATGCTAGGGTCACTTCTTCCATTTAGTTCACTGAAGCATGACAAAATGTTTAGATTCAAAAATCAAACTTGTTGCTGGATTAAAAAAAAAAAAAAAAAAGGAAAGCAAACAGATGGTGTAGGTCCAATTCTTGCACCTAGCCTACTCAGCAGCAACTGAACACTTACTAGAATTAGCCTTCTATTTACTAGAAAATATCAAATATTTTTCTGCGCTGAACTGCAGCCCTTGGACAGCAGAAAGAGTAAAAGCTGTATAATCCCCGTTAGTTCTGGGAATCACTTGCATGTTTCTGTAAGGGAGCCAGGACAACTCCAGCATTCCTATCTTCACTCTCTGGACTATACAGATTATGTTTTTCTATGTATGCTTGAACTGCATCAGGCACTAGGTAACGAATACTCTGGCCTCTCCGCAGTGCTCTCCTAATCTTGGTGGAGGAAATATCATTTGTGATCCATTCTTCCACTAGATGAATATTATTCCTATGTCTCCACAAAATGTCAGATTCATAGATGAATTTCTGAACACTGTTTCCAGCCCTACTGATGCATACGAGGCCGTAATTTTCCACAATTTCAGTGATGTCCTCCAACTTCCACAGATTGGGGACCCCAAAAGATTCCAGGATGTCACTTCCACAAAGCAGTTTAACCTGTGGGACACCTTAAAAAGAAAAAGGAGTGAGAAATAGGGCTTGGTTTAGCTTACCAGACTTTAGCTCACTAAATGGGAACATTTAATTTTTAAGCTACCACTGTATCTTTGGTTAAGGCGAAACAATGCAGAGAAATAAAAAAAAAAAAAAAAAAAAAAAAAGATTCAGAATTTATAATTATTAGCCTTAATACAGAATTCCTCTGAAAACAAGTTAGGGGAGCCCTTTCACTCATAACCACTAGAAAATAAACTGTAATGTGCTCATTTAGCCTTGTGGTGAATCAGTCACACAAGCATCAAAGAAAATCTAGACAGTTCCAGAGTTGTGATGTATGGAAGGACACAAATGCTATTAAAACTTTATCAGATGTTCCATACAGTTCCAGAAGATGAGCTAGCTTTTATGGGGCAGAGTCTATTCTCTCCACATCTTGTATGGAATATAGAGAAACATGCAGGTAGAAAACACCTTAAGTAATGGAAACAAGCTTGTGCATGCTGCGAGACATCCAGTAATGTCATAGAGTGGTAAGAACGCTGTGAAACATCTATCACTTTAGTATGGGAAAAACCTGACCAATGCTGTTAGTCTTTTGTTCGAACACATTTATTTTAAAATACTATCAATTAAACTTGGTAAATTTGGGAAAGTTTCAAGGACTACCGTTTTGTGCTGTGTCAATATTTTCTTTTTCCATGGATGTCAGAACAAAGGATTAGCATCAAAAGAAGATTTACTTATAACACAGCACAATCCCCTGGAAATAACAAGTATTTTTAAGCATTTAAATGACCAACAGACTTAACTTTTTATATTTGGACTCTGATTTTTCTTCTTAATAGGGCCATGCCTATTCGGTTCCTGTTTCCTCTTCCGTCCTGCCTTTGTTAAAGGTATTGCATTCTCGAGACTATTTGTAGGATCAGAAGATGAAAGCTTTTCATGATGATACCTGAAAAAAAGATTATTTTAGATATTTTAAAGACAAAGAATATGCAAAAGAATATAAAAGAGCACTGCCTACTAAATAATCTCTTATCATTTCCTCCTGCAGTACTTTTACACACTACCCATCCAAGAACTGATCTGCTCAGTGACTTGTAAGCCCTGGGTTATAAGGTGGTCAAACTAGAAGTACTTCGAAGCAACAACTACAAGGTCTGTTTTGTTTTTTTCCTTCTTAATTAGAACTCAATTAAAAAGTAAAAGAACCATAGGGAAGAAATGACTGAAACATCCTTAAAAATACGTAAGTGTAGCAATATTGAAATTATAGAAACTTGTGGGATGAGAATAAAAAAAGTTAAACATTCACATAGAAAATTCTCATGCCAAGCTTTAAAAATATATATGGGCAGCAGAGCATAATTAAAATCAAAAGAAGGAAGGTTGTGCAGCATATTTCCATCTTACTCTAGTGTCTTTTCCATTAACAGCTTATTTTCTTCAGCACAGAAGTTGCATAAAGCCTAAGAAAATGTACACGATCTTAAAATGTGTGCAGTTCAGATTCAGGTTTTTTGTATGTTCAGGGCTAATCTTGCAATCTTTCGTTCATAATGCTCATGCAAATATCACATCTGACTTCACTGAGTCTATTCATATAATTTGCAATTAACCTGATATTCTGTTTTGTTTTTTTTTAAACTACTACGCCATTCTTCATCCTTCTATAGGTTCTTGAGACTTTTAAAGATTTGACTGAAGAATACCTTAAAACTTTGAGTGTTTCCAACCACTCACTCTGGCAGCTTTCCCAGTCATCCACTTCTACCCAGTCTGAGGTTTTTGTAGCTAGTTTTGCCATAGTTACTCGGTGATCGGCACTGATGAGACCTTTCTTCTTATATGCGTCACCTACTGGTGAAATGATTCCTTTAATTACTTTGTATTTTCCTGTGGAAAAAACCATATCACAAAAGAACATGAGAAGTGGTTGAACAGATGTTACTTCCTCAGTATTGCATGTCAACTATTACATACCCTTTATCCACCTTAGTCTCTAAAAAATAAAAAAACAGTGTTAGCTCTGACAACCAACCAAGTGGAAAAGTACAGCATACTGCTGCCACTGTATTCATTTAACATCTCAGTGTTTACAAATCATAGCTGTTTAAAATGCTGTAAGTCATCATGCTACCTGTTTCATGAAGGTAATCTTTAGCCAGCTCAAATAGCCTTAGATGCATGTTGGTGATGGGATTGAAGGACCCACAGGCCAGCAGGACTACTTCAGTCTTCTTGTCAGGATCTTCCATGGCCATCACTCACTGCTAGAGAGTGAAGTACTGAATGTTGGTGCTAAAGTTACCAGCAACTACAAGGGGAAAAAAGGCAATTAAAAAAAATAGTTATTCTTACTTATTCTTTCCCCAAATAAGCAGATGACTTTAAATGAATTCTGTGTCTTTCTTACGTCAATATCTGGCCTGTCACTGTTTATGTGATACTGCATTGTCCAATTTTTAACTCATTTAAACGACTGCCTCTAGTTTGGTCTGGTTACTCCTGGATAGAATGTACAGGGCAAGCAGGTGCAATAATGGTGGTATTACATTGCAGGAAGGATAATTCACGACAATTGCTGTGGTTATATAGGAAGACAGTGCTATGACCGAGTGTGAAAATCATCACACTACTGTGTGTCGTGGAAAGTAAGCAGTATAGCAGTAAACCTGATAGGAAAAGTGATTTTTAAAAAAAAAAAAAAGCTTTAAAAGCTGCAGTTAAAAGCTTGATTTTTTTAAAAGACATTATCATCATTCCTATTTTCAATTTAAGTTTCTGGAGATATGTTTAAGAGTTGTTAAAACTAAGGAAATTTTACAACTCATCATTTCAGCTACCTTACATGTATTTTTGCTTCTCAATATTCTTCTCCATGTGAATATTCTGGCTTGCTAAAATGGCTTCTCCTGGTCTGGCCCTGAAGAAACAGATAAAAACTAGAATATGTTGTGAGCCATTCTTCTGTCGTTGCTGCATGTGAGATGTCCGAGGCTTCTGTGCAGAGCACTGAAGAGGTGGCTGTTGTTTCTACAGCAACATCACTGCTTGTAAAACTCCCCCAAGGTCACCCTCGAATTCTGTCTCCTTAACAAAGAGACTGGGTGATGCTTGCAACAGCCACAGCACGAGATGCTGTCACAGCTCAATCTTGTAACATCAACTAACATCAAATAGAGAGAACTAACATCAAATAGATCTCAAATAGAAGGCATTCCCATGAGACTTCCGATGAGGTATATTTTGCAAGCGTTAGTACTTCGTGCTTTCCACGGCTTCACAAACTTGTAATATATTCTTTATTGCCACTGACTAGTCACTATTTCAGGATTTGAAGGGTTGGTGCTGCTTGAAATGCAGTCTTAAAGCAGCACCAGCTAGAAGAGTTACTATGGGAACAGGAGGGGGAAGGAGTTGGATTTGCTTTTGTAATGCATAAAGCCCCAGTCTCTAAAGAGAGTGAGTCATGCCACAAATTTGTAAAGGGTTGATTTTTCTTTTTTGATCTAAAAATAAAAGCAAAAATAACAAAGCTTTAAGATGAAAATATATTATGCCTTTTCTGGAATTAAAGTCAAATGTCCCTTCTCATCATGGCAGCTCATTTTTCATTCTGTTATAAACAGGCAGCTTTTAAACTGCATCATAAACTCCCCTTTTCACTATTTGCATCTGCATACAGATTAAGAAGTAATTCTAAACAAAACGTTAACAGCTTGAGATAGCCTCAGTCTCCTATCACATTGACATCCTCTGTGTAGTGCTATTTGTTGAATTTGGCTCCCAAGTTTTCCATTATTAAACTGCAATTGTAAATACTATTAAAAGCTTCCAGGAGCTCCCTTGTGGTACTCATTACAGCTATTTGATTTCAAGAAACTTAACTCCTATTTATTTCACAGTAACATTTAAATCTATTTCTAAATAATTTTTGATGTATTAAATTCTTTGGAACCTGGAAAACGCACCTGGTCAAAGCTGGTGTGCCAATGTTAACTTAAGGCAGGACAGAAGTTGCTGCAGCTGAGCAAACTTTCTACCACTTATACCTTACACTATTATATCCTGGAGAGAGTAGTCTAGCCTGAATTAAAGATGCCTTTCTCACTTGCCAGATAAGCTACTGCAGTGCTATCTAAACGAAATCAGCATGAAGGAAATGGCCATAAATTTAAAACACAAAGACTGTCCTCAGCAACACAGCCACGTGTTTACCTGTTGATAAACACGTAAAAATCCTCTCAGCATTTTTCTGTATGCTAAAGTAATGCCTTTCTCATATAATACCAAGCCACTTCTGAATTCTAAAATATTTTTTTTAAAGATAGCAGGACACACAACTTCATTTCTAGATGTTTGGGACTTCTGCTAATGGGAAGCCCGCTTGTGCGGCAGACGTGGGTTTCGGAGATGGTTCCGTAACTCCTCAGCGAGGGCAGAAGCGCTGCGGTTTCCCCATTCCAGGTGCAAGGGCCCCACGAGGGCCCTCCCGAGCCGAGCTCAACGCAGAACCGTCTACGAGCACCTCAAGAGCCGCCGCCACCTCCCCCGGACTGGTGCGGGATGAGACACCCCGAGAAACGGGCTTTCTGGTAGCTTTTCCGACTCGGTGGCGAACCCCTATAACATAATCCTGAACTTAGTTTAATAATGATGATCCTAAGGTAGTTTACATGATCAGTAACTTCGGTCCTCGAGCGGGTGGGCTTCGGTCAGCTCTCGCTACAGGGGGCTGCGCCTCTCTGTTGGAGCCGTTCCCGTGCGGACAGCCGTCCCCGAGCGCCGGGTTTGCGGGGCGCCCTCGCCCGGCCGGGCCGGTCCTGGGGCCGGAGCCGGAGCCGGAGCCGGAGCCGGAGCCGGAGCCGGTCCCGCCGCGAGCCCCGCGCCCGCCCGCCCGCGCTTACCGGCCGCGCCGCCGCCGCCTCCGCGCCGAGGGGACCGCATTGGGCGGCGCGCGCCGAGCCGCGCTCCCATTGGCCGCCGCCCGCCGGAAGCGGCGCGGGTCCGTCCGCGGCACGGTCCCCCCTCGCGCTGCCCGCCGCTGCCTGCGCAGGTGAGGCGGCCCCCGGGGGTCCCGTCCCGTTCCGTCCCGTCCCGTCCCGTCCCGGGGGGCGCTGCCCGCCCTGCTGGAGCCTGCCCCGCGGCTTCCCCGCCGCCCAGGGTGCTCAGGATCCCGCCCTCGTTTCTCCCCCCGCCGGCGCTCCCGCGGATCCCGCCGGCCTTTTCAAAGCGGGAGGAGCCCCTCGTGTTTCCTTGTGTGTCTTCCCTGGACTAACGACTCTTGTCCTTAGCGGCATTCGTTACGGGCTTGCTGTTGAGCTGCTGCGGGATTGCTAGGCAGCGTCCTGTCGACTGCGTCCCTTGTTTGCGTGACCCGTCTTGCCTCTGTTATCTCAAGAAGTAAAATTTCTTCTATGCTATTAACATTTTTGCATCCAATTACTTTACTGAAGGTTATTATGTTGCATAGTGTTGAATCTGGATGGTTGTCCCTGTTAAGTACCTTTCCAAGGGGCAGGTGAAGAGAACAGTCTTCTGTTGCGCAAAGCAGGGCCTGGAGATTTCAGTAGTTGCTGCTTGATCCCAAACGTGTTTCATCTTTAAATGCTGTGGCTGTTTGAGTTAGGTAAACTGCGACAATGCTCTAGATTCAGGTTCATATTTCTGTGCTTTTCTTGCTGGTATCTTAAGATATTTTCGTTGGGTATTGGGTCATCAAGACACTGCATCATTTTATTGATTTGTGGAATATTTAAAAATGTATCTTGGGGAATTGATACACAGTAATAAAGTATTTTTTTTTCTCTTAGGAGTGTCATGTAACAACTTAAAAAATTAATGTGAAAACTGAAAATGGCTTCAAGGGGAACAACAGAAACCAGTAAGCTTAAGCAGAATTTGGAAGAGCAGTTGGATAGGTTAATGCAACAGCTTCAAGATTTGGAAGAATGCAGGTAATAAAAATAAATCTTGCCCTCTTAAATGTGAATACTTTTCATAGTTGGTTTGGAGAGGAAAATGATGTCCCTTTCACACTTTTGTGGGCTTTTCTGTTTTTTGTTTTATTATTTAAAAAACAATTTATTAAGATCATTTTACTTGTAATCATCTTGAGGAAAGTGATAGCAGAAATATTGGTTACTGTTTTCTTGATAATTTTACATTTCTGTGTGACTCTTCAACTATACAATTCACAATTCCTTTATTAAAAGCAATGAATAGCTGTTGTGTGTGTTTTACTTTTTCTTTAAATTAGAGAGTTTTACATACTATATAATTATAGATTTTCTTGTAGCAAAATAATCTGAAGTGATGTGTTTTTATTGGTATTGGAACCAATCGGCACACTTCCCGATACTCCCTGACTTTTGTTTTTTTTTCCTATGTTTTATCTCACGTTTAACTCAATGAATTTATGTGTCTTGTTGGCCTTCAGAGAGGAACTAGATGCAGATGAGTATGAAGAGACCAAAAAAGAAACTCTAGAACAGCTGAGTGAGATCAATGACTCCCTGAAGAAGATCATGTCTGGAGATATGACTCTCGTGGATGAGCTCAGTGGCATGCAGCTGGTAAGGACGATTCTTACTCAGATCTTTGTTATTTTACTAAAAGTAGTTCATATTGTATGTGGACTTGAAGAAATAGAAAATAGATGCAAGGGGTTCATTATAATTCTTAAGCAGGCACGTGTGAAATTTAGATCTTCATATCTAAGGTTTTTAATATTGTATGTCTACGTAGAAGAATGTGGTTAACACTCTTCATTTCAAAGGAAAAATAAACTGAAGAGTCGTAGTCATAATACTGTAGAAAAATGTGAGACACTGTAGGGCATGAAAATATCAGGTCTTTAATATTAGAAAATAGTATGTGAAGAGAGGTAATTTTGATACTCCCTATAGGATTTCCAGCAATAGGATACTGATTGATATCTTAAAAAAATTCATTCTACTGGCCCTTGGAAGAATTGCAGTTGTCAATGTGGGCATTAAAATGGCTAAAGATAGTATAGCACATCCACTTGTGTCACTATTGGGAAGATGTTGGAAATAATTAGAAATTAAGGCTTTGAGTCTAGTTAAAAGTTTTACCTTGTCTTTGTTTTGTTTTCCATGAAGTATACTAATTAGTTGATTTCTTAAGCCTTGCATAAACATCATATATTTTTCCATGTTGCTTCTGTGGTTGTGCAATTGTATCAAATGATACCAAGAATACAAATGACTCTGGCCTTTATTAACCTTGTCATGTAGCTGTGGGTTTATGCCTTCTATTAGTTGTGGTTATTCTTGTTCTTGCAGGCAATACAAGCAGCCATCAGCCAGGCATTTAAAACTCCGGAAGTAATTAGAATGTTTGCAAAGAAACAACCAAGACAATTAAGGACAAAGTTGGCAGAGGTGAAGATTTCTTTTCTGCCGTAACTATGCTTATTTTAAGTAAACTAATTAAATTTGTGATGATTGGATGGAAAGCACTAAGTGTGTCAGAAAACTTGGTGGTAGTAGTATCAGGAAAGAAATGCAAATGCAAATTTTGAAATGCTCATTGAAGTAATGAAGACAGGAATGTGAATTCCTTAGCTTCTATTTTCTTGCCGCCTCAAACCAAAAATCCAATCAAGAGATGGCCAAACGAGTATAACTGCAAATAAAAAATGTGAAGACATGATTATTGAATTGTGGAAAGGAATGCACTCATATCTTAGAAATCTAAACTGAATTCAATTGCATAAAAAGTGAAACAATTTTTTTCCTCATGTTCTGAGGATCATGGAGTGGCATAAAAAACAGTTTATAGCTTTACAACCATCTTTTAAATCATAAGTGACTCTTACTTCTATGGGTTCCATGTTTATTGGTGGTATTTCTGTGTTGTTGCACTGGTCGTGCTGTCGCTGTATGTGACTAATGGATAGCTTGTATAATTCAACTTTTTTTCTGGTATAAAGATGGACCGAGACCTAATGGTTGGGAAATTGGCACGGGACCTCTACACACAGCAGAAAGTAGAAATCCTGACTGCCCTCAGGAAGCTTGGTGAGAAGGTAAGGTGTTGGCATGAGAGCTATGTGAATGGAAATTTATATATATATGTGGAGGAAGAATTTTAAGTTATTAAAAGAGAATGGGCAAGTGATAAATTCAATGCCCTGTAGCTTGCTTTTGTTACATAGATATTTCTACGTTTTAGTGGTGAGCTTTCTGATGTGTTTATAAACATAGGTTACTGTCTGACTTGTGCTCCATAATAAATAAAGCTATTGCTGTTTTTAAATGCCCACTTTGGTGGACCATCTGAGTATCACACATAAATAACATCAAACTGTACCAGTTTATAGAAGCTGTAACACAATTAATTTCCTGGTTAACTCCAGCCCATCCAGTAGTCAGGGGCAATCCAAGACTTTTGATACATGTGGGTCTTTAACCTGCTTCTGGAAAGTACTTCCTAGATCTGGTTTAAGACAAAAAAATGGGAAGATGAATGAACTACTGATATTTTTCCCTGATGAGTACACAGGGTGCAGAACAATGCCTGACTTTTGCCACAAGAGGGAGGAAGGGAAGTTACTTTTGTTGTTGTTGATGGAATATAAAGAAAATGGATTATCGGGGAGCTCTGTACTTAAATTTCTCTGTGAAATGAGACAGAGTCTTGGAAAATATCAAGTGCAGTATATAAAGGGATTACATTCCAATTAAATGATATTAACAAGTGCTCTCCTTTTTTATTGTCTGACTGTCCAAGAAAAGAATGTTTTGAAGAAATAACTCAAAAGGCTAGTTAAGGTTGTGAACTGAATGCCTGACAATATCTAATCCCATAGTATGAATTCCTTGGATCATTTCAGACAAACACTTCACTATTTTTTCACATAGTTAATTTATCTTTTAAAATTACCAGCAACTCCTCTTTGAAGTATGTTACTAAGACAGTAGTTTCACATGGTTTTAAATGTGAAAAAAATAGGGTAAATATTACATGTTTGTCTGTACAGTACTGCGAAGGTTAAGTTGGTGCTTGCTTGTAAAGCACAGCATATAATTTAAGCTAGATATTTCTTTTAGTAGTAAGGTACCAATAATGAAGAAGCCTTGTTGCTGATCTTTGCCAATATATGTTGATTCATTTGTTTTGGAGGAGTTCTGTAAAACTTGTAGTGTACCAAGAGCGCCGGTGGGTTAGCAGATGGGTCACAGGATGGTGGACAGAAGAAGGTAAAAGGAGTATCCTTGGAGTATGTGGTGGAAGATAGGAGACTTGACTGTTAGGGGTACTATTAGGATACAGAGATATTTTGACACACCTATTTCTTTGCTCTAATAAGGATGCAGAGATGTTTTGACACACCTATTCCTTTGCTCTAATAAGGATATACATCCGAAGCTACTGCAATGAGTCTTAGCTTTGAATCTGAATCTTCCAAATGTAGGTTACTGGTTCGTTATTGTAAATATTTTATGGGCATCTATCACAAAGCATCAGAGCACCTACATAAAAGCCAAATATACATGTATAAATGTGGCTATTGGTTCACAGCACTATAAAGGGAGAGGAGAATTCCTAGGTCATTGACTTTTAGCGTGGTCAAAGCTGCTAGTGACTGCGTGTTGCCACATTCCTCAGCAGGTGAAGTGAATGTTCATCTTAGCTATTTACTGGGTAGACAAACATGACCGAAATGAAGTTGACATCCTTTGCATAGTTTTGGTACAGAGGTGAATGGTGACCTTCTTGTGAAAAATTACTACTTGATGTCAGCTTGGAAATGATGAGTTTAGAGGCATGTCTGATCTTGTTTATCCTATCCTTTCTGGACAACTGCCATAACTGAGGAAGAAGTTCAGTGGGAGGGGGCAAAACTTGCTTTTTTTACTTTGTCTTTTAGTATGTTAGGTAAAGCCATCCTTTGAAAATGGCAAAATTCTAAGCTCTCCAACCTGATGTATTTTATGTACATGCTGATATAGATCTTTAGAGGTGGGAACATGCACAGTTAAGGTACCAAGTTCACAGTTACGGCTCCTTTGATTTAGCTGACTCCAGATGATGAGGCTTTCTTGTCAGCAAATGCTGGTGCAGCCCTGAGCCAATTTGAGAGAGTCTCCACTGACCTTGGTAAGTTTTCCTTCTCTTTAACTTCCAGTTGCTTTTCTTTATTGAATGCTGATAGATAAAAATGCCTCTGATCCCACTGTGAAGGAGAAAATATGACCAAAAAATCAATTATATCCAATTTTGATATGCATTTTTCTTTTTTTTTTTTTATAATTGATACATTGTGAATAAGAAAAAATAATGCACCAAATAAATCCAGTGAATGTCTTTTTCTCTACTGTCTGCAGAGAACTCTGCAATTACTGGCACATTGTCAAAATAGACTTTTAAATCACTTTTCTTGCCATGATTGTCATAGGTCTAATCATGTTGGGAAGACCAAAAATATGTTTGTAAGAGGCATTAAATGAGCCCAGCGGTTCAATATAGCGTTGCAGTTAGAACTGTAATGAAGGAACTGTGAATGACAGGAATGTGTAATACTAGGTCAGGGTACAAATGAACTGGCCAAGTTGTGTACCTTCCAATGCTCATTTTTTTTTTTCGGATTGCAAGACAGATGTTGAAAAAAATTCTCCTTTAGAAGCCCTTTATATGGGTAGTTTCAGTCCAATCCCATATATGGCCCCTCTTTTTATTTTGGGGAATATGCTCAAGTTTGATTTGGGTAGGTTGTTGTTTTTGTTGCTATTGTTTTGATCTAAATTCTATCATAAAAATGTGAAACACAGTTTTTATTAATAAATGCTGATTTTTTTTTTCCTTCCATAGGATCAGGAGACAAGGTCTTTGCTCTAGCAAGTTTTGAAGTAGAAAAGGCAAAACAATGAAGAGGTGCATGGAGCTTGAATCTCTCCAGTTGTCAGGAATATTGGACTTCTGTCATATTGTAACTGTTTTTCTAAGATATTGAAAAAAACAAAAAAACAAGCCCTAAAACTTTTGGGTTCTTAACCAGAAGATATGAAGTAAACAGACTTCAAGTGCACTTTGGAACGCTGGTGTCTCTGCCCCTCAGTAACATAATCTCTGAGGCTAAATGCTAAGTGGTACTCTAAAAACAAAACTTTAGTATGATTATCTTTGAAAAGAATTAGCCGTTTTCAACTTTTCCAAACGTGTATTTCTCTAACTATTAAAATATCATCTTTTTGCATGTGGCTTTATCAAGTAGAACTTTTTATTTCAGAAATGATCCTAACTGATTAGCTGTATTGGGGGTGATTTTTTTAAAGTTGCTCTCAAGCTGTCTTAATTTTGAATTTTTCTGGACTTTCTACTGAATAGATAGGACTAAATAGGAACTTTCTACTAAATAGGAATAGACTGCGGCTTTTAAAAACTGGCCTAGTTTATTTAAAATGCCATCTTTTTGTAAACTATTTGCAGAACATCCAAAATGAGGCTGCATACGGATCGTTGGCCCTTGTCAGCTTGTTTGCTCTGCACATGAATAAGTGCTATTGTATTCCAGTCTTGATTGACAAACAATGGAAGCCCTGTTGGGAGACTTCTGGAGTAATTTAACCTTCTATATTGAAATGACAGGGAATTGCTAGGAAATGGCAAGAAAAAGCCCTTTCTGTGACCTCTTACTCTTGCTCTGGATGTATAACTACAAGCTACTGTGTTTTTCCTAAGATTTTGGAGATAGCATGAAATAGTTTGCACATAGAAACAGCTTAGAAAAGAGGGGGAAGGTCTCATTACATGGTTGATCTACACAGTAAATGAAATGAAGGTCTTTGGAGCAAGTGTGGCCCAAACTAATTATGAGGTGGTGATGGTGTGTGTGTGGAGAAAGGAGGGTTTGTGTTCCATGGGGAAGTTAAAATTCCAAATAATACCAGTTTTTAAGAGGTTTTGAAATCCCATGTTGTTGAGTTTTGAGTTCATATTGCTACCTCTTGCCCATCTGATTTTACAGTTAGCTAGAGAAAAGAGCATGGATGGAAATAAAAGATACTTCTGTAGTCTTGCTAGCTGTTAGCAGTGTATCTCTTCCCCCTGAAAAGTGGAGGTGAAAAGCTTGGCACTTCTTTATGGTTTGGAGGAAATGGTTTGTCTGAAACTAGTGCGTAAATGCCAGGTTCTTTTACACAGTGTAGCTGCTTGGAGACATCATTTCACATCACCAGGATGGCACCTACAGCACATCTATCTTAGCTTTTTTTTTTTTTCTTCTTTTTTCTAACCCAGACGACAGCTTCAGTGGCAGCTGCCATGAAACTGTGTGAGTGGAGTGGAAATACTATCTAAAAAATAGCCCACAGCCAACTAATAATCACTAATAATCACAAGTCTGTAACAGAGTGTAAACAAAAAATAAGTATTATTAGTTGTAATTTAGATTGCATTGATAGAGCATAGGTACCCTGTAAATAAACAAGCTCATCCAATTGCTAAATGTGACTGGAATAAAATAAACCAGTAAATATGTTTTGAGAATATATTTTGCTTTAATAGTTATCCTTTTGAAACTACTATTTTAGAAACAAAAGGGCATAGCGTAGACAATACAATTCATGGTTTTCACAGATGGAACTCCTTTCTCCCTTCTATTCTTTTTAAGAAGCTTTTATTTAGATGGTGTTCTTTGTCCAGATTATTAGAACTACTTTGCTGTCTGGGACAGTATTATCTTCTCTGACAAAGACTGACTGCAGCTTTACAGCTGAGAGGAGCTTATTAAAAGACATTATTAGTCTAAAATTACTGAAAACAAAACAGTCCATGGGGACTGTAGCTGCCTTCTTTTCCTTTCTGCTCATTACTGGTGCTAAGTAACTCTCCTTTTCCACTTCCCAACCTGCTTGAAGCATTAATATGTAAATGAAATCTCTCAGACCTCTCACATCATAGTAAGTTATTGTCCAAAGTATGGAAATCTTCCTTGCAGTTCTCAGGAGAAGTTTTTTTTTTATAGTTTTGAAAATATTTCGGGATTTTTTTCCATGCTTTCTGTACTGCAGACATTTGCAAAATTCCTATTACAATGGTCCTCAACAGAATCTCTTTAGTGTTGTGTTCCTTTTGCTCTTAGAAAGATATCACTTAATTTAGATGGGCAAAGATCAGACTGTGATCAAATGCCGTCATTATAGCAAGATTCTGTGGGCGAGGCCAGATTTGCCTTCCCAAATTTTATGAAAAGGCAGAAAGCATTACCCATTCCAAAAAGCCCTAACTGTAAATGTTATTTGAAAAGGAAGCTGCTGATAAGATTTTTCCATTCCTGCTTTGTGTATGGGGCAAGTAGGATGACTATTGGGCAAGTAATTTGGGCAAGAGCAGTTAACTTGCCTCTTCTGCCTCTTTGTGAAGGCCTGTGTGGTCGCTTAAGAGCAGAACCACACGCTCAACCTGTTGCAGAGCTAGGAGTAAAGATATCTCGAGGGTCCATCGCGTGCTTTGGTGATGGAAGCATGGGGTGAGATGGCACCTTGTTCCATAGTAAAAGATCTGCCCATCTCAGTAAACTTGAGGGCAGCCAACTAAGGTGGGCACAGAAGTTGAACTGGACTTGGTGTTTTAAGAAAATAAATGTCGAATCGTCCAAGGGTAGGGAAAGCCTTGTATGTTCTGCTAAAAAAGCTGTTCGAAGTCAATGCAGGGTGCTAAATTCCTGCTATGTACAATTGATATATGCTGTTGTACTGTCAGCCAGCTAAATTAGAGCAGCAGAGTTAGGCAATTAAATGATGTTCGGCCCATGCTATTGCAAAGATGCAAATGATGGCTTAATTTTAGTTACCATAAGATGCTTTTGGTTCTTTCCCTCAGACTCATGTACTGTGCTAATTAACATTAATCCAACTGGAGGATCCCAGAGTGATGCTTCTGCATATTTTTTGAGCTTATGCTGGTGCTCGTATGTTCTTCTCTTAAATAATTAATAACCATTACTGCCTGCTGTGCTATGTGTATGTGCTAGTGATCTCAGATCCCAGCATATTTGCACCGTTCCTGTTCCTGTCAGCAGCTTGGTTCTGCTCTTTGGATGGGCTTTCATGTTAAGACCTTCATTAACTGGCAGCGGGGTATGAATTTCAGAGGCGCTGCCCTTTGACGTCATTAAGTAACAAGCTGTTAAAGGAAGTGCCTCCTATTTCATTGCCATGCCTATTTTTATGCAATTAAGTTAAATGCCAAGCAGAAAAGGGATACATTTTACTAAATAACACTTAGGACACAAAGCCTGTTTTATCTTCGGGAGGTTCCCGCTTGCCTTGCTGTTCCCACCAATGTGTCTTGGAGGTAAGCAGCGTTACAGCTGAACCTGGTGGGAAGCTAAAATGCAGATTAGTGTCAGAGTGGAGGGGAAAACTTTATGGTTTTTTTTTTTTTTTTTTTTTTTTTTTTTTTTTTTGTATTTCTCTTAATTTCTCCCTTGGAGTTCACACTGCATCACAGCATCAGTGTGTCTAGGGGGAAGATTCCTTCCTCCAGAGGTGATGGGGGATTTCAGGCTCTGGCACCTCTGTGAACACCTGGAATGGCCAAGGGGGCTGTTCCTGCCGACTGGAGCCTCTCGGGGCGTTTTCAGCGTTTACTCAAGTGGCGTGAATCTGTCTGTGCTGAAGCTTTCGGTAACTTTAACCGTATCGCCATTAGTGTAACCCTTGGGCGAGGCAGCTCTGTTTTCACCTCAACGCGACGGGTTTGTCGGAGCCGCGCGGCGTC